GATAGAAAAAAATGAAATGAGAGTTGAAAACTTAGCACTGAACTGGAAGAAAAATAGAAGTCATATCAAAATGAACACCAATTTCCAAAATGCCTAATTAAGAATGAATTCAAATGAAAACTTAATAACTGATATTGAAGAAAAGCAGGAAAACAATAAAAAACAATGAACGTGAGGTAAAGAAAGAAGTAAATAGAGTCAGAGAGAAAGTGGTCACAATAAAAGATATACAAAAAGATCTAGCTTACATGTAATTCGAGTGGGTGTGGGAAAAAAAGAAGAAAAAAATTGAACAGTAGTAATAAATTGGAATCTAAGAAAAGTTTCCAAAGCTGAAAGAAGTCCTCAAAGTATATATTGAAATAGCCATCCATTACTTGGGAAAATTGACCAGCAGTGAACAACTGAAAGATATATATTAATAAAAATATTAGAAGTTAAGATTAAAAAAAGAAAAAAAACAAAAAACCTCAGCGCACCCAAGGAAAGATCATATAACTTACAGAGGCCAAAAAAAAAAAAGACTTTATTCAGCCTTCCCAAATGCAATATACAAAGCAAGGCATTAAGGTTGCCACATTTCAAAATATTCAATGAAAGAAAATGGGAACCGATGATTTTATATCTAAAGATTCTGTCATTCAAATGTCATTTTTAAGAAGAGTTTTAAAATGCAAGAAGCTAGGAAATATTGGTATAGCCCTGCCTGATTAACCAACTGAGGATCCAATAGAAATAACTGGGAAACATTGACAAAAAGACTTACCTTAAGAATTTAATTAAGTTTTTAGCTAAAGCTAAGCCAAAGGTTGCATGCAAAAGCTGGACAATGAATAAGGAAGACTGAAGAAGAATTGACACCTTTGAATTATAGTGTTGGGGAAGAATATTGAATATACCATGGACTGCCAAAAGAACAAATAAATCTGTCTTGGAAGAAATACAGCCAGAATGCTCCTTAAAAGCTAGGATGGTAAGACTTCCTCTCATATACTTTGGACATGTTATCAGGAGGGACCAGTCCCTGGAGAAGAATATCATGCTTGGTAAAGTAGAGGGTCAGCGAGAAAGAGGAGGACCCTCAATGCAATGGATTGACATAGTGGCTGCAACAATGGGCTCAGGCATAACACCAATCCTGAGGATGGTGCAGGACAGGGCAGTGTTTCCTTCTGTTGTACGTAGGGTCGCTATGAGTCAGAACTGGTTTGACAGCACCTGACGACAAGCTAAAGGTGTGGATGAGAGTGAAAGAAAAATATATTAACATCATATGGTAGGAAAAGAAAAACTAATTCAACTGAAAAGGAGAGATGAAGGGGGGTAGAAAAAGTTCTTTGGTAAATGAGTAAGTAATAGGTGGTGGTCAATGTTTACTATTAAAAACTGATAAGTCAGATAGTAAAAGTTATAATTAAAAAAAGCAGGGTATTAATCAATGATATTTTTACAAAAAGTGTAATTCACCAATAGGTAACGACTAAAATAAATATCCGAACCTTTCTAAATAGCAAAAGAAATTTATAAAATATTGAGTAAAGAAAACACAATATATATAGAGAAAGACATGTAATGAATATAAGACTACACATAGTAATTATAACATAAAATATTTTTATGGAGTCAACACCAAACATAATAATAGCAAATCAATAAATGTGAATGAGCTTAACTAAATTTTTAATATAAAAATAGTTTTAATGAAGTTCACAAAGCAAGAACCAACTATGGTCAAGAGAAACGTTTAGAACTAAGTGATTAAGAAAGTCTAAAAGTAAAAGCATATGCAAATTAAAGCAATGAGATACCACTATGCACCTATTAGAATGGCTAATTGTTTTTTTAAAAAAATGACAATATCAATTGTTGACAAGGATTCAGAGCTATAGGAGCTTTCATTCATTGCTATATGGTTACAAAATGGAAGATGGTTTGCAGTTTCTTGAAAAGCTAATCATAGCCTTACCATATGATCCAGTCATCTCACTCCTAGATATTTAACCAACATATTTTAAAACTTGTGTCTACACAAAAACACGCATGAGAATATTTATACTAACTTTATTCATAAAAGCCGTAAACCAAGGCAACCCAGGCATCCTTCAACAGAATGGACTTCAGTATATCCATACACTGGGATATTATTTAGCAACAAAATTGAATTGAACTGTCAAGCCAAAAAAAGTTATGGATATAGCTTAAATGTGTATGATCAAGTAAAAGAAGCCAATCTGAAAGGTTACATACTGTACAATTCCAATTATATGACATTCTGGAAAAGACAAACCAATATATATAGAATCAAAAGTCAATGAGTGCTAAGAGTTTGGGGGAAGAGGTGGGACAGTTGAATTAGATGAAGCACACGGTATCTATAGGACGGTGAAACTATTCATAATGATGGAGACATGACACTATGCGTTTATAAAAATCTGCAGAACAGTATGGTACAAAGAGTGAGCCTTAATGTACGTAAATTAAGAAAATTATTAAGGAAGTTTGGAGAATCCCAGGATGGAATACAGACTGTGACAAAAGAATATAACTGTATGTAACAACCTCACTGAAAGTGATTGGGGTGGGGAAAGGATGTTGACCTAAATAACTTTGAAAATGAGGGAAGTCTGTAAGCGAAAAGTAAAGGAACTACATGTACCCTGAACTCTAGTTGATAAAGTAAATCCCATGAGGCTATGAATTAACAATTCTGATATTTCTATACATGTATACTGCAATTTAACAACTGAATAAATGGATGGAGGATGGTGGGAGCCAGGTTTCCCACTGTGGGGTGAGAGATTACAGATAACCATTGGGAGGAAGTAGAATGATCTATGTAGCAACGGATTAGAACTGGAAACATCAGTATGAACTCATACTTATCTTAATATAGAATCAGATAGTTACATATAGAAATATTTATATATTTTGGCATACATGGGTTAGTATACACATATATATATTGCCATGGTTGAAGATTTTATTAGCACAACACAGCAAACTTATCATGATAAAATAATTGAAGTTCAAAACACATTCACCATGCCAGAAAAAAGTTATTATTAGATATCAGGTATTGAAAGACAAAGTCTTCTAGAGTGGACTGATTGTCTATCTTGTATAGAAGCAGATCCCCGAAGATCATCATTAATCAAATGCCAACATCTCGTTCATCAAGTGTTCTTCACCTTATTCACATTATTGTCAGAAACCAGGTGGTCCAAATAGCAGTTTAATTATCAAGTCAGAATAAACAAAGCACACAGGTCATTGTATAAAATTTTCTAGAATAATTAGGGTCCTACAGAAGAGTAAGTCCCCAAATTATAAATTTTCAAGTGTTTATTCAGTAGAAGGCAGAAGACCAGTATCTTCCATAGCAAGATGGCTGGCGTCAGCCATGTTGGTAGCCTCCATCAGTCACAGCCATGGGCCAGTCTGCAGAAGCTCCCACAGCCACAGCCATAGCCACAGCCCAGGCCACTAAAGCCTCCACAGCCGTAGCCCAGGCCTCTGTAGTAGCTGGCATAGTAGCTCATGGTGTCAGAAGATACTGACGGATGTGGAAAGCCACTCCCCTAAATGTCATCCAATAGAACGTATTATTAGAAAAATGTTAGCCGGGTTGTTTCATAATACCTAGACCTTGTCTCCCGCTTATTTACATAATACTTATTTAAAAGTTATACAACATGTTTGATTATCTGCCTCATTCAGATTCCTAGAAAAATCTGTTTCCTGTAATAAAATGCTATTGCGTTTATAATCCAATACTCGTTTCCATTCTGAATTTCAAACTTCACAAATAAATCTCTGTAACCTCAAATATTCTTCACATTGCATCATCTCCAAGTGCGTTTATTCTCCAATGGTACCCTTTCCTTCGACATCTCATGGTTGCTCTTCTTAAGACAAGGGCGTTATCTTTCTTCTCCAGATAATTCATATAATCGGAACCGTAAACTTTCCCTGAGATACTGGTTCCGTAAAAAGTGGCAACTGAATATGATGAATGCCTTAATACGGCGTGCTTTTTGAAGTCAGTTAAGAACCACATTTAATAGTAAAATGATTAAAGGAAGTCAAAGGAATTTCTCAAGTGTCATGGGTCACAGGGAGTCAACCTGAGTTGTAGATACCATTGCAGATTGCACACAGAGTCCCTGCTAATTACTACAAACAGATCCTTGCTCACAAATAAACTTTTATTCCAGATTCTAAATTCTCTCCAGTCCCAAGATCATGGAATTTCAGAATTAGAAGAGACTTGAGACATAACTTATTGCAATGTCCTTCTAACTGTGATTCAGAGAGACAACTAGTATTATCGAACAACAATTCTTAGTGGCAGATCAGGATTACAACCTAAATACTTCAATTCTCAACCCTAGATCAGCAGGCAAATCTGAAACTGAGGACATGATGGCAGGCTAGGGAATTCGTTCTCCACAGTGTTCAGCTGTCTTATTTTTTGTTTGTTCCGTTGTTTATTCCCACCACCATCAGAAACAAAAGCAAATGATTTGCAACCAGTTAACATTTGTGAATGGTCAGCTCCAGGTGCCTTTGAGTTAATTACGACTCATGGCAAGCCCATGTGTGTCACAGTAGAACTCTGCTCCATATGGTCAGCTGGTTGGGCTTAAAAAAAAAAAAATCAAAATAACTGAATATCACAAGGAAAATAGATGATCTTTGAATTCCACTTATACTTATTACACTTGTTTCCCTTTATTAGTTTATCAAGAGTACAATGTGATTAGGTGCTATCTCAGGCTGGGTTCTCTAGAGAAGCAAAACCAGTAAAGTGTATAAATATATATAGAGAGAGATTTATATGAAGGAAATGGCTCGAACAATTGTAGAGACTGGAACATCCCAAGTCTGTGGATCAGGATAGAGGCTTCTTCTCCTGATTCACGTAGTCGCAGGGGCTGGTAAATCCAAGAACGGTAGGTCGGAAAGCAGGCCTCTTGCTCAAAGGCTATGAAGATCAGTGAATCCCAAGATCAGCAGGTAAGCGCCAGCTCAAGATCCAAGAACTGGAGGTCAGACCAACAGGAGGCAGCTGCAGAATCCAGTGCAGGCAAAAGCCAGAACGTCCACTTATATTCAGATGCAGGCCACACGCCCAAGGAAACTCCCTTTCAAATGATTGGCTACTCGTAGCAGATTCCATCATGGGGGTGATAACATATAAACACTGAGAAACATGGCCCAGCTAAGTTGACACACAATCTTAACCATCACAGGTGCTTATCTATTCCCATATCAATGGAGATTTGCAATCTATAAATTAAAAGGAAATATTAATGCTAAAAAACTTCTCTATTTGAATCTTCTTTAAGTAGAAGAATTTAGGTTCAATAAATTTTAAAGTACATTAAAAAATAAATAAAGACTATTGTCTTTAACACCGTCATGACCCAAATAAAGTCAGATATTTTGCCTGGTAAACCAAACACCAAACCTGTTGCCATCAAGTCGATTCTGACTGACAGCAACCCTAAAGGACAGAGTAGAACTGCCCCATAGGACAGAGTAGAACTGCCCCATAGGGTTTCCAAAGAGTGGCTGGTGGATTCGAATTACTGACCTTTTGGTTAACAGCTAAGCTCTTAACCACTACACCACCAGGGCTCCACTTATATATTGTTGTTGTTGTTAGGTGCCATTGAGTCGGTTCTGACTCACAGTGGCCCTACATGCGACAGAACAAAACCCTGCCTGGTCCACTTATATATTAGTCTCCCTAAAAGAGAAGCCAGACCCTAGCCCTAGCAGTTGACTGTATGTGAAACATCCAGTCTTCTGTACCTCTTCTCGTCCTCAGTTCTTACCACCTCCCACCCAGCGCAGGAAGGACCACACTCTCTTCCACCTTCCACAAGATATGTGCTGGTTTACATAGAAAAGACAGCCTTTCCAGATCTTTTATCTTTCTGAGATTCCACTGCATTCACATCTCAAGATTTTGCCAAACATAAGTATTAGGGGCTCCTTTTATTTCTTATAATAATTCCTTCTCTTTAATCAGTATATATTTTACAAAAATATTGACATAAAAGCCAGCCTTATTCTGTGGGTTTGAAGTAACCGTGAGGAAATGAAACAATCAAACAAAAACTTCAAGAGGTTAGGAGAAAGATCCAATACCTAGAAATGTCTTTCAAGTCAATAGGCTTTGAACATCACCCATTTGATGAGATAACACATAAGCTTTACTTTCCTCATTATCGTACCCTCCCAAACTGAAAAAGCTGTGCAAGAATTTATAAACAATTTAAAAATTACCTTGATAATCCATAAAAAAGTTTTTTTTTTTTTTTTTTTTTTGATGAGTCTCCGTGGAGAGTACACATTTAAGTAATGCGTTGACTGTCAAAACAAACAAAACGACCAAAAACTTGGTAGGGTACTTGTAGATTGGTCAATATAATCTGTATTTTTATTTTTAAAGTATATAATGCAAATAATAGATTATATTTGCTGAGCAATTATTATGGGCCAGGGTATTGTCTGAGGCCATTTACAAGTATCAAACTCAGTTAAACTCACAAGGATCCTTTGCATCCTACTACTAGCCTATTTAATTACCTGCCCAAGGTCCGACAGCTACTGGGTGGCTGAACTGAGATTCAAAACCAAGCTTCTTACTCCAGAGTCTGCGATTTTTTTTTTTACATATTTTGTATAACTTGAATTCTTTTAAGTTTATTGAGACTTGTTTTATTGCTCAGGATAGTAATTATCTTGTGCACTTAAAAGCAATGTGTATTCTGTTGTTAGTTGGAGTATTCTGTAAATTCACACAATTAGGTGAATTTGACCCAGAGTCTGTGATTTTAAGCACTGCATAATATTGTTTCTACTATTAGGTTGGCCTTCAGAAGGAACATGAACTCCAGAAAAGAGTATTTAACCTTAAAAAAAAAAATTTAAACTATTTCAGAAAGAAATATTAGAATTATTTTTAAAAGAAATTAAAAAAGAATGTTTCAAGTAAGTTTTCTAAAGTTCCCTTTGTTACCTTAATAAAACAAAGCATGCTGTTCATAATTTAATTAACCTTTCTCGGTTTTTTAATTATTCCATCATATCGATTAATATAATGTTGCCATTTAGAACTAGCTAGGGAGCTATTATCTTGCTGAAGGCAGCCTGTACATCCTTTTACTGGCTAATCTACTCATTTATTGCTTATTTCAACAAATATTTACTGAATGATTACTATACTTCCGGCATCAGGCATGCTGAGTTTAAAATACAAACTATAAGCCATGAACTCCATGGAGCTTACTTCTAGTGTAGGAGACAGATAATAAAGGGTTAATACAGAAGCAATATATAACTATGAATTGTATGGAAAAATGAATTGGAAATAAGAACAAAAATGGATTGTTGGTCTGGGCAGTTGGCTTGTTGTTGCTGTTGGGTACCTTAGAGTCCATTTTGGCTCATAGCTACTTCATGGGACAGAGTGAACTACTCCTTAGGATTTTCTAGGCTGTAATCTTTATGAGAGGAGCCCTGGTGGTGCAGTGGTTAAAGCGCTCGGCTGCCAACCAAAGGTCAGCAGTTTGAACCCAACAGCCGCTCTGTGGGAGAAAGATATGGCAGTAGTCTTCCTTAAAGATTACAGCCTAGGAAACTCTCTAGGACAGTTCTATTATGTCCTGCAGCGTCACTATGGGTCAGAATCGACTCAACGGCAACGGGTACTCAATTCACTACACAAAGGGATAACTGCTAAGGAAAAAAATATATATAAAGCAAAGGTTGTTGTTAGGTGCCGTTGAGTCAGTTTCAACTCATGCAGACCCTATGTACACCAGAAGGAAACACTGCCTGGCCCTGCACCGTCCTCACGATCATTGCTATGCTTGAACCCGTGGTTGTACCCACTGTGTCAATCCATCTCATTGAGGGTCTTCCTTCCTCATATGTGACATAACTGACTTTAACAAAGCGATATTACCTAGTTAGGGCTGATCTAATTGTATGAGCCCTTTAAAAGTAGAGTTTTCTTAATCTGGTAGCAGAAGAGAAAATCACAGACCCAGAGTATGAGAAGAATTCGACACACCGTTGCTGGTTCAGAGAAAGAAGGGGCCATGTGGCAAAGAATGCAGGCAACCTCTAGTAGCTGGAGCAGCCCCTGGCTGACAGCCAGCATAGAAATGGGGAGGTCAGTCCCACAACTGTAAAGAACTAGATTCTGCCAATAACAAGAATGAGCTTGGAAGCAGATTATTCCCCAGAGCCTCCAGACAGGAACAGCCTGGCTGACACCTTGATTCAGCCTTAGGATACACTAAGGAGAGAACCCAGCCACATCATATGAGACTTCTAATCCATAGATGTATGAGCTAAGAAAGGGGTGTTGTTATAAGCTATTTGAGTCTGTGTTAACTTGTTATGCAGTAACAGAAACCTAATTCCTAACCTTTTTATCCTGAATGCTATAAGCATTCAGATTCTGAAAAAGAAATCTTTGGTAATATTCTTAAACTTTATCATATAAGTTTTTGTCAAAACATATTACAGTTCAAAAGGAGTTCAAGGAGAATTGAGAAAATAATCTCTATCTTAAATATGCAATATGGGATTATTATAAATCTCGGAAGCAAATGCATGAGAGGTTGAGCTTCTAAGGCTCCGCTTCATAACCCTGTAGTGTGGCTTGGAGATCGATGCTTCTTTAATGCCACACCCCACTTGCCACCTTCAAAACGGAATGCTGGCCTTTAATTCTCTAAAGAAAGTTCTCTGCATTGTACATATCACTAAACTAAAGTCAAGCAATTTAGTTTCTATTGGTGGCCGTGTCACTTCATGTGAAATTCTGGAAATAGCCCCCTGCTAACAGCCAGCGTAGAGATGGGGAACTCAGTCCTAAAACCACAAGGGGCAGGATTATGTTGAAACCTCTCTTTTTTTTGGTTTGTTTTTTGGAGTTTTTTTCTTTTTTATTGTACTTTAGATGAAGGTTTACAGAACAAACTAGTTTCTCATTAAACAGTTAGTACACATTGTTTTATGACATTGGTTAACAGCCCCACGACTTGTCAACACTCTCCCTTCTCAACTTTGGGTTCTCTATCACCAGCTTTCCTGTCCCCTCGGGCCTTCTAGTCCTTGCTCCTAGGCTGCTGTGCCCCTTTAGTCTCCTTTTATTTTATAGGCCTGTGTAATCTTTCAATAAAGGGTGAACCTCAGGAGTGACTTCATTACTGAGTTAAATGAAACCTCATTTTAAATAATTATTTTTGCTACCATTATGTTGAAGCTAATTTTAAAAACCAGGATAAAATGATGTATATTTCTAAAAGCTATTATAAATATTTAAGGAAAAAATTATACAGGCAAGTGCTTTGTGAATGTTAAAAGAGAATACAATATTCTTTACTAAATAAAACGAGAAGCAATGTTTTACTTAGGGAGAGTTCAACGAAAGGCTTCAGCAGTATATTTCTGGTTAAAAGCTCTGGCCACCAAAATAATAATAATATAATTTTAATCTTCTTTAGGCTTATAATGGTTATAAAACAAGGTACTGATTCTTCAAAGTTCTCTCTCTTTAAATTCATATAGCCCACTTCCAGCAATTGCGAGATAACTGCTCCTATTATTTTTGATGATGGTTATAACCGATGAAATTAGAAAAACTCCTTGGGCAGTCTAACAACACCTTCCAACAGTGAGTTTCTAAATAGGTCTCTGCTGAAAATATTGACTGAGTGTGCATCTACTAGAGACCCTTGCTGAGGTCACTGGCTCTGGGGAAATGGTCTGCCTAAAGCATCCTAGTACCAACACTACACCCAAACTCATTCTAAACCCCGCTTCCAGCACATTTCTTAAACACTCAGCTCAGGCAGCATATTTCGGGGGAACTTTCCATGACTACACAAGCTTGGTTAGACGTCCCTTCTATGAGGTCCTGTGACGTCCCATCCATACAACATTTTTTAAAAGTTAACACTGAGAATTCTAATTATATATTATTTTTCTGAGTTCCCACATGTAAGGCTCTCAAGATCCCGGGAAACTTTGTCTTTCTCTGGTACTTAGCACAGATAGGGTATAATGTGACAAGGCCTACTATTAATGAATGGTTGAATGAATGGATGATTAAATCCATCATGGAAGTCATCAACGTCCCTGGCATTACCCACCACAGCAAAACTGAGTGCCCTGAGGCTCCGGGTGACACAATTTGTATGGCTGTTTTTTCTTAATTGTTGCCCACGCCAGTTCACTGAATAATGCAGAATTCTTTTGAAATGTGGAGGAATACGTAATTACTTTGTAAAGATTATAGAAACATTGGTATTGGTGCCTTGAACTCATGTGACATGCAGTGCCTCTGGTCTACTATTTGTTATTGAGGTCTGTCCCTACTATTTTATTAGTCAACAAATGAGGTCACTCATTGCTAATTTTTTCAGTAATACAAGCATAGAGACATTATTTTACTTGTCATGATCATCCTGTGTCCTTGAAAGAAATTAAATATGTCATCTTTCAGTTGTTTTTTTTAATTTCCCTTTTCCAAATTCCTTGTGCTTCTGTCTTTGGTATATTCGGGTTTTAGAAGTCAATGCTAAGGATGCCACTATCATACATTCATATATAAATGGATCAAATTTTCACCTATCTTGTAGCCATAGTTTGAATGCAGTTTTCTTGTCAAAATCTGCCATTCATTCCAAGGGTATTCTAAGAGGACTTTCTTTCTGACCACTGATAAAAAGTTCCTCAGAGAAAAAAATAGATTTACACACAATCTCCCTTTCTGCAGGATTGTATAATCTGTGAAGCACATCTTGTTGAAAACAAATTGTTGACTAAAATATGCAGGTACCAAAGAAAGGCACAGACAATAGGTAAATACAGCCACCAAGGACAGTGCAGGCCCTTCTGGAGGCCTAGAGGCAGAGATGATGCTCAAACATATGCATATCATAGATTGGGACTTTTGGTCCTTTAAACAGAATCACAAATTGAGTTAAATAAACATACCTGGGCTGATTATCAAGTTGATGGAGCCACCACCCATCTGTTAGCAGAGTCTTGGTTGTTGCTATGATGTTGAATAGATTTCAGAGGAGCTTCCGGACTAAGAGTAAGAAAAACGTCTGGCCAGTGGAAACCTTCTTGGTCACAATGGTTCGATCCGTAACCAGTTATGAGGATGGCACAGACTAGGTAGTGCTTCCTTCCATTGTGCTTGGGGTTGCCATGAGACGGGGGCTGACTGGATGGCAGCTGACAACAGCAAACATCAAGTTAATAAAACCAGTCAAGGTCAGAAAAATGCTTCCCAGGACATATTGAGGAAAAAGCACCCATGGTGTGACAACAGTCTCTTTGGGCACTTTCCAAAATGTACTCAGAGGAGCTAGTTGTCAGGACACGTGAGTTATTTATCCAACTGGTAATGGGGAGCTCTGGGTGCCTGGAAACCAGAATGGCGAGTTAATGAATCAGTCTCTACATGTTCTAAAGGCTGTTTGAGGCTCTTTCCATTGTCATTTAAGTGAGGCCCAAAAAGCAGTCTCCCTAGAAGAAATCTATTAAGAACACAGCTTCCAATGACACAGCAGAGCTGTGTCCTGCTGGAAACAGCAAAAGCCAGCAAATGGTGCGATGATATTGCATAACGAGCCCACTGTGAGGATGTGAGACTGGTTCAGAGCAGCTGGGGCTGCATCAACACACTTTTAATATAGTGTATAAAGAACTGCTGGACATTCTCTACCCCACAGTTACACAGGAATGTAGATGGAGCACCATCGTCAGGAGATTTTTCACAAAGCATACAGACATAGACAGAAGACAGACACCCACCCACACTCACACACCCACACACACAACGTAGATATGGAAAAACTTGTCAACAGGGATAGAAAAAACAACCATGACACATTTAAAATGCCAGAGTAAAGAAGTTTAATGTAAAGTGAATTTTCACATTTCACACATGAGCAATATGAAGAATAGGAATTGTGCCTAAATATTTATCCAAAAACAAATTATTGCCCAAACTGTAAAATCTCCTCAAAATTTAAATTGCAACTCCAGATGATTTGTATAAAGTCAGCCCTGGTGTACTGAAATCAGAAGATCTGTCATAGTAACGTAGGATTGGCTGGCCATTATTTAGTCTGAGAGGCACTGATGGAAAGAAGTGTCCAGAAGGTAGAATCAAGGAGAGGAACATTAGCAGAAAGTCCTCAGTTGCTTGCGAGTTTTCTCAGTAGAAGCCAGAGGACCAATATCTTTCATAGCAACAGGGGCGGTAGCAGCTGTATCTGTAGCCACCATAACCAGAGCCATAGCCACAGCCCAGGCCTCGGAAGGAGCCATAGCCACAGCCATAGCCACAGCCCAGGCCGCCAGAGTAGTTTCCGTAGTAATAGCTCATGGTGTTAGGAGTTGAGGATTTAGTTGAGAGCAAAGTGATTGCTTGAAGAGTATGAACTTCTCTGCTCTCTTGGAGCCTTTTATACACCCTCCATAGTGGGCGTGACCAACCACAAGCAATCACGCTTAGCGTCTCATCAACTATTGTGAAGGAAAAAAATCTCATTAACATCCAGTTTATTGATGGGAGGAGCCCTCATACCCATTAATATTGGAATTCCCGCACTGCTACCTCTAAATTCTTTAAGCCATATCATATGCCTTTAAAAAAATTGCTCTCATACTTCAACTCTATAACCAAGCTTCATGAGTTTGCATAGCGTGGAAGCTACACATTTAAATAATTTCAAGCTTGCATTGAAATAATACCTCCCCTGCCCTCTGCAAACAGAAAGTGCATACCCTCAGAGACCCCAGGTTGCAATAAGCAACGTTTAGAGGTACGTCTTGTTATGGCAAGGAGGCCTGGTGGTGCAAACGGTTAAACATTCCGCTGCTAACCGAAAAGTTGGCGATTCAAACGCTCCCAGTGGCTCCATAGGAGAAAGATCTGGTGATCTGCTCCTGTAAAGATTACAGCCAAGAAAATCCTATGGAACCGTTCTACTCTGTCACATGGGGTTGCTAGGAGTTGAAAATGACTAAACGGCGCTCAACAACAACTTGTTATCACCCACATTTTCTCTATTCTTGTTTCTTCCCTAAGATCCTCATGAATACTACTGTTTTGTTTTTTACTGCTTTTTGTGTTTTTATATAAATGTCAAAACTGATTATGGTATTTAATTGCAAGCAATGTTTTTAAGCGTATTCACAGTGTTCTCACTCTTATTGCTTCTTATGTTTTTATTATGGTTATATGGCACTCAGTTTTACGTGCATTAAGATTTCTTTTTTTTTTTGTTTTTTGAATTCCACATTTTTTTTAATTGTACTGTAGATGAAGGTTTACAGAACAAATAGTTTCTCATTAAACAGTCAGTAGCCATACTGTTTTATGACATTGGTTAACAACCCCACGACATGTCAACATTGTCCTTTCTTGACACTGGAGGACCTTTTCTTTTCTGGTGAAAATATACATAGCCAAAATTACACCATTTCAAAAGTTTCTGCATGTACAATTCAGTGATATTGATTACACTCTTCCAGTTGTGCTGCTATTCTCATTATCCTTTTCCAAATTATTCCATCACCATTATCTTCAACTCACTGCCCCTAGGCTTCCCAGGAAAGCTTTAGAGTTGCTGTTGCCAATTTGATCTCACATAGACAATTCTTTTTTTGTGTGTGTGCCTTAGATGAAAATTACAGAACAAATAGTTCCTCGTTAAACAGTGTTCACATATTGCCCTATGACAATGGTTAACAACCCCACGACATGTCAACACTGTCCCTTCTCAACCTTGGGTTCCCTATCACCAGCTTTCTTGTCCCCTCCTTCCTACTAGTCCTTGTCCCTGGACTGCTGTGCCTCATTAGTCCCGTTTTGTTTTATGAGGCTGTCCAATCCCCTGCTGAACGGTGAACCTCAGAAGTGACTTCACCATTGAGCAAAAAGGGTGTCCGGGGGCCATACTCTCGGGGTTTCTCCAGTCTCCTTTAGGCCATTTAATCTGCTGGTCTTTTTTTGTGAGTTAGAATTTTGTTCTACATCCTTCTCCAGCTCTGTCCAGAACCCTCTGTTGTGATTCCGGTCAGAGCAGTCAGTGGTGACAGCCAGGCACCATCTAGCTGTACTGGACTCAGTCTGGTGGAGGCCATGGTAGCTGTGGCCCATTAGTCCTTTGGACTAATCTTTTCCTTGTATCCTGGTCTCTTCATTCTTCCTTGCTCCCAAAGGGGTGAGACCAGTGGAGTATTTTAGATGGCTGCTCACAGGCTTTTAAGACCCCAGACGCAGTCACCAAGGTAGAATGTAGAACATTGGCCTTTATAAACTGTGTTATGCCAGTTGAGCCAAATGTTCCCCAAGACCATGGTCCTCACAGCCTCCACCCAGCAATTCAGTCCCTCAGGGAGGTTGGATGTGTCTGTGGAGCTTCCATGACCTTTCTTTGTACAAGCTGTGCTGGTTTCCCCAGTATTGTGTACTGTCTCACCCTTCACCAAAGTTAGCACTTCTCTATATAGCATTAACATTTCTTAAGTGTGAAATACCTAAAAATGTTTTTCAGTAAAAATAAGTATATGATTTGTGGGTGTGTGTGTGTATGTCTATGACACAATCTGTACATCTTATATTATTATAATACATGCATATCTTCAGATATATGTTTAGTATGCTTTTGTTGTTAGCTGTTATCAAGTCAGCCTCTAACTCATGGGGACCCAAGCACAATGGAATTGGACTATTTTGATCCATAGGGTTTTCACTGGCTGATTTCTAGAAGTACATCACCAGGCCTTTCTTCCTAGTCTGTCTGAGTCTGTAAGTTCCACTGAAACCTGTTCAGCATCACAGCAACCCTAAAGCCTCCACTGACAAATGGGTGGTTGCTGCACTTGAGGTGCAATGGCCAGGAATCGAACCCAGGTCTCCCATATGGAAGACAAGAATTGTGAGAAGAGATTGTAAATATGTAAAAAGTAAGCAATGTTACATTCTCTTAGAGAGCAGCCCGACAGTATCGCCCAAGAGGAGCTTTATCCAGTTGCACACAGTTTCTCCACTGCCATGCACATCCATTCACAGTGTCGTCTTTGTCAATAAAACATCCGTTTCCTTCTCCACCTAGTCACTGCTGCTGGGGCAAAGATGCAGCAGGAAAGCGCTGTTTACCCAGAAAATGATCAGAATCTTGAGGAAATGATATTCTTAGAGACAAAACACATTGGTTTTCTATGGATGGAGATTTTTTAAAAAATCTGATATTAAATCTCTCCATCATTTTTACAACACAACACAACGGTGCTAATAATTGAACAAATAAAATATAACTTTTATTACTGTTGAATAACTCTATGAACATTTTACTGTTGGAAACTGAAACCTTTTTTTTTTATTTCTATGTTGTCTAAGATGACTCCTCACTTTATGAGAACTGTTAAACTTTTATCTTGTTTCTCTTCCATGTCTAATCAATGCAAAGCCCATGTATACGTTGTCAAAGAACACTGTGATACAAGGCAAGGATTTCCTCAGTCGCCACTATAATCAATCACTTTTCTGTAGAGGGTGTCAATGCACCTAGGAAAACAGAAAATACTTTGTTGTTTTGTGCTGTTAAATTGTTTCCGACTCATAGTAACCTTATAGGGCAGAGTAGAACTGCCGCATATGGCTTCCTATGGTGCCATCTTTATGGAAGCAGACTGCTACACCTTTCTCCCATGGATTGGCTGGTGGGTTCAAACCGCAGGCCTTTTGGTTAGCAGCCAAGCACTTTAACCACTGTGCCACCAGGACTCCAAGTGATAATATAAAAAATCCAAAACCCATTGCCATTGAATCGATTCCAACTCATAGCAACCCTGCAGGACAGAGTAGAACTGCCCCATAGGATTTCCGAGGCTGTAAATCTTTATGGAAGCTGACTACCACATCTTTCTCTCCAGAAGCTGGTGGGTTGGAACTGCTGATCTTTTGGTTAGCAGCTGAGCACTTAACCATTGTGCCACCAGGGCTCCTTGAGTGATAGTACAGTGGAATGTAAATACATCTACTCCTCACTTATCTACTATCTTGATGCCAAGGCCTGTCTCCGGGGTTGGTGGTACAGGAAGGTGGAGAGGGAAGGCATGGGGGTACATGCAGAGGCCTGGAGCTCGGCCAGGTGATGGTGGGCCCCTCCTGCTCCAGAGGTGGTGGGCAACCCCCAGCCACCACCACTCCAACCCCTACAGGCTCTACGGTGGTGGGAAAGGGGGGGGTCCATGGAGCCACGAGCATCACAAGATGTGCCGGGGCAACTGGGGGTGGGACACCAGTCCGAAAATGGGGCACTGCCCCGACTCTCACATAATACCGATTTTCGCTTAACAACCTGGTTTCTGGAACCTAACCATGTCAATCAGTGAGGAGAGGGTGTATCATTATATAGATGATGATATGGTCACATACTTAGAAAACACACATACACTGTGTTATGATTTTAGCAAGTTTTCTTAGCCTAAAGTCACTAAGAAAATCAAATCAACTGCCAGTGAGATAAAGAAAAGAGTACAATCAGATAGTTTTAAAACAAACATTCAAAAATGTAAAAAGTACACGTAGACTTAAAAAGGCCGTTTAGAAAATATAATTAAATAATATCTTATTCCAATTTTAATAGCAACTTCAAACACAGAGCAATGGATTTAACAAGAAATGTGCCAAATCTAGGTGAAGGACTTTATGAATGGATGTAGAAGACTTGAATGAAGAAGGGTTGATGGCATCCATATTATTGTATGACAAGATAAACCACAGAAAGATTTACAATCCTTACCATTTTAATTTATAAATGTAATAGGAGTCTAATTAATATCACACTGTGCTTTTTGGGGAAAATTATAAAATTATTTTAACATTTATATGAAAAAAAGAACCTAATTTTTCCCATGAGATATGAAAATATAGTAAAATAAAACAGCATGTACCTTTGTCAGAATTAAAAAAGTTCATTTGGAATACAGCAGAAGGTCCAATTTATCACTGTGTTGGTTTATTTTCTAGCATTGTATTCAGGTATTCAACAAATAGGCATAAGGGAGCTGAGTTTGTCATTATCTTTGTGTGGTACCTTTTTTTATGTTTAAATATCAGAAAAATGTTAACTTTATAAAATATATGTCCGTATTGGTCTACATGCGTTCTGAAAGTCTGGAAAAATTACCTTAGGAAGATTTACTAGAAATAACTTCATTTACTTCTGTAATTTCTACTCTAATTACATTGCCCAATCCTTTTTTTTTTTTTTTAAGTAATATTTATTGTGCTTTTGGTAAAGGTTTACACAGCAGTTTAGGTTCCCATTCCACAATTTCTAAACAAGTTGTTCATTGACATTGGTTACCCAT